GCAAACCCAGAAATCGTCAACGCAGCAATGGTATATCTATTACTTATGTCAGGTTCTATCAGTGCAAGACTAAAATTAACTTATACTAGTAAATACTTATTGTTGTTATTATTATTATTATTATTATTATTATTATTAGTGGCAATGAAGCGACATATAATTATCAATCAATTGATTGAAGAGAATGAATGTTAACATTTCTTTTTCAGGGGTTGAAGCACGCAGAAAAAAAGAGCTCAATCATTTACAGTGTTTACAATAAAAACTGAAAAAATGGATCTTCTTCGTTGGATGAAATTCATAACTGTGGCAATCTTGTTGCTCCTGTCTCTTTTATCAGAAGGAAGCGCTCGTCGATTTAATGCTTGCAGATACAACGCTGTAACGCGCTCGTGCGATGACGTTATTTTGAGAAGCGTAGGACCATACAAATTTGAGAAAAGTCTATGTAGGGACATTTACGGAGGAAAGTGTCGTTTGGTTCCCTTGAAAAGGCGATGTTTCTGTATGGGAAAAATAGTTTTCTAGAACAAATTCAACGTTATATACAATGAGTTCTAACTAGTATCTGGCGGCATTCAAATTTATAAATGGCATATTATTATTGAATTGTAATATGGCTGATTTAACATGTATATAATTATATTACGTTCGTGCTAACTTATGTGTTTGAGCATTTCGTTGCAACATTTTCGTTGAAGCGTCATGAAGTATTATTTCATTGCTTTCATTTCATATATATGTAAATATAACAACAAAAAAAAACACGATAATTTCGGACTTCTTCAGCGACATTTTATACATAACAATGAATTTAAACTAAACAAGGGAAGTGACATAACAGTATTATTGTTAAGCATAGGCCCTACTGGGACATTGTCATTGTTATTTACAACAAAATATAGATAAATGAATATGTGTTTTATTTCCTTATTGACATTTAACTTTTATTTATTTGTCATTGCAACATTTCATGTATTATATTGTTGTTTTAACATCAACTTTGATCTTTGTTGATTCATTTATTTTTTAATTTCAGCATTAATTCTATTGTTAAAATATTCATAATTTTTTTTATCCGACAAGAATAGGGCAATATTTATTAAAAATACAGAGTATTATACATATTGTTTATTGTTTTCTGTTGATAGTTATTTGTCTTTCTATTTGTCTTGTTTAAATGTATTGTTTAAATGAAAATTAAAAAAAACCCCAAACTTTATCCAACTTCAGCTTTATGTTTTGATTTCATTAGATTTGATTTCATTAGACGAATGTTTGTAAACATCTCTGTTTTCGAGTAGAAAAGATCAAAAGCGTGGCAAATCAACATCAGTTCCAGTGGTCAATATCAGGATCAAAATTCTTTTTACAAGATATTATGCACAATTACTTTCCGTATTGTAGGTTGAATATACGATCTTTATCTGTGCTTGAATAGATCTACTACATATTACTTAAAAGTTGACTTAAAATCACACAAGATGATGTCATTTAATCTAAAAATGAGTATGTTCTATTGACATTTTTTTTCAAAGAAAAAAAAACAAACAAAAAACAAGAGGGCCATGATGGCCCTGAGTCGCTCACCAGAAACAACTGCTTTTCAGAGTTGGACATTATCCATTGTTAATAATTTCTGATATTTAATTTGAGCATAGAATATGTTTAAACAATAATTTGAAGAAATGCCATGACCTGGGGCATTTAAGCTTTAGTTTAAACGGCGCCAATCAAATTAATATGAGCAAACTTGATAAAAGACTACCTAATAATGCTACAAGGTTTGGTGATCATCTATCAATTTTTTCAGTACCAAATGTTCAAAGTTTTTTTTATATTTTTGGCTTTAGTGGCCCCTAAAAGGGGCCAATCAAATAAATATAAGCAAACTTGATAAAAGCTTACCTAAGAATGCTACAGACAAAGTTTGGTGATCATCCACCAATTAGTTCTGTAGAAATAGACTTTTAAAGGTATTTCTATTTTAAGCTTTAGCGGCCCCTAAAAGGCGCCAATTAAATTAATATGATCAAAATTGATAAGAGACTACCCAAGAATGCTACAGACAGAATTTGGTGATCATCCATCCATTAGTTCTGTAGAAGAAGATGTCTAAAGGTATTTCTATTTTTAGCCCTAGAGACCCCTAAAAGGGGCCAATCAAATTAATATGAGCACATTTGATAGAAGACTACCCAAGAATGCTACAGACAAAGTTTGGTGATTATCCATCAGTTCTGTAGTAGAAGATGTTTAAAGGTTTTTCTATTTTTAGCTCTGTTGACCCCTAAAAGGGGCCAATTGAAATGACATGAGCAAATTCAAGTGTGACTGCCCCTTTGATACTAATAGCTCACCCTGAGCCTTCGGCTCTGGTGAGCTAAAAACACACCAGTGCACAATGTATTACCGTTTAATGATCTTAATAAAATTTACACAACAAATAAAAACAAAACAAAAACCATTCCTGGAAAAAAAGCTCAGCAAGAGCTGTCACAGGAGACAGCCTAGCTCGACTAAATAAAATACTGGACGCAGTAAGGAGGACAATAGTATGAAAGAAAAAATCAATTATGTATAAATATATATTAAGTTATAGTAAAAAATAACATTTGTTAACATAAATTCCAAGATTAAGGGGAATAATTCTAGAAAAAGTCAAGCTAGAGTTATGAACCTTGTCACACAACATGTGTGTAATGAAAAGAATTATATATTTGAAGTTTGAAGTAGATACCTTTAAAAAGTAAAGAAGTTATATTATTTCTTAAAGAAAATCCTAAGTTCAAAGAGAGATAAATCTGTAAATATTGCTTCAACAGTTATGAACATTGTCACATAAAATGTAATTGATGATAAGGAATAAGTATTCGCAGTTTGAGGTTGGTACCTTTAAAACTAAAGAAGTTATAGTAAAAAATAACATTTTTCTAGTAAAAAAAAATTCTTAGTTTATGAGGAGATAATTCTTGCAATATTGGTGTTAGAGTTATGAACCTTATCACATAACATGTAATTGATGATCAGTAATACGTATTTGAAGTTTGAGGTACCTTGAAGTTTGATACCTTTAAAACTAAAAAAGTTATAAAAAACATTGTTTAAGGAAAATTCTAAGTTCAAGGGGAGATAAATCTAAAAATATTGGTGCTAGAGTTATGAACCTTGTCACATAAGATGTGGTTGATGACAAGAAACATATATTTGAAGTTGATACCTTAAGAAATGACAAAGTTATAGTGAAAAATATTTTACTGCACCAAAAATTTAATCTGAAATCTGGACGCGGACTCAATACCCTTTACGTTTCATCATATTTGTATATGACCTGCTTGAACTAAACACTTGAATACTTCTAGAAAGATATTTTTTCAATGTTTAAATTCTTGTTACATTACATGCGTTTCCGATAGTTTTTTATTGATCCTTTATGTTTTTTTTTATTTATAATATATTTACGAGTTAATGTTATTTCAACAGACGAGAAATCATTGATGATTCATTTGAAGGTACTCTCATTGTACTGTGTTTGATACAAGTACATATGTAATTAAGAAAATTTATAACGTTGTTCTTTAAACTGTGTGCTTTCGGTTGTATATCTATTTTGCGAGGTATTAGCACGGATCTTATAAAGCACTTTTATTAATCATCAGGAATTTAAGACAGTACTTGAAATTGAAGCGACACTATGTTCATGTGTTTGCTCATGTTTTCATTGTTAAGGTTTTTTTTACATGATGGGACTGGAAATAATTACTCAATTTTGTGTAGGACTACACCAACAGCATATGCGCAAAATATCAGATCAAAAGCTCGCTCCGTTTTCTCCAGAACAATTACAATTGTAAAAAATGACCCAAAATTGAAAACAAATTCACTCAAATCGGACTGAGAACCGTACAAAGATACGAGTTTTCAATGTATTTTTGAGTATATTTCTAAGTTACATGTACACTCTATAAATCTGCCTAGAATAAAATCAATCAGTCAGTCAGTCAGTCAGGAGATACAGTTGTTTAAAATAAAAAAAAATCTGACCTTTTTTTTGTTTATTGAAGAACGTCTTTTTCTTGTTATAAAAGAACGTTGAAGAGTCAGACTTGAGTTTGTCTCCATAATGTTTTTATACAACATCAGTGAGCAATACAGCAAAAGACTTGAATAAAGAGAATGTATCAGACCTTCACCTCTTTAATTGTATTATAAATTGAATAATACTTATCATCGCTGTTGCTGTCGTTTATGTTGTATTGATGTGGTAGAAGCAACAGTGTTAACAGGAAAAAATGTTTGTGCTTTTATAAAAAATACTACCAACACAGTCAAATCATGAGAATGCGCAAATGTTCTTTTAAAAATATTATTCCATCTAAAGCTAATTATTCCAAGTTAAAAAAAACTGGAAAGTAAATGGTGGCTTTTTGTAAAAATGATAAATTTATATTTCTACGAGTTCGATTATGATTATTTGAAATGCACAATGTGCTTAAGGTGAACGTCCGATCATAACTTTCTTTTAATAAAAATTCATCATCTCACTGCATCAAATTTTGCTCATTTCCTTTTATCGTTTTAACAATTCCATGCATGTTAGCCTCAACCAAATTTGTTCAAACCATCGCTCGACCCACAACGCCTCTACCGAGACAGAAATGCGGCTTCTCTAAGACAGCGTATTTTATATAATTCATAAAAAAATGAATAAATTATGTCCCGAAAGGCCTCTTTAAAATGTTCGCAAATAGTCAGTGGGTTATTATTCATCTTTGAAAACGGGGTAATTCTTTTACTGGAAGGTTCGGGTCGGGTCACATTTCTTCGCGAATAATTCTCATAATAATTGGAGATAACGTAAATCTGAAAATGTCTTCAACAAGCCAATAAATTATGTTTATCAAATCTTAAATAAAAAATACTTTAATCTAGTTTGAATAAATATATTAGTCAGAAAGCATATCAACAGGAACTTAACACTCAGCGATAATTCACAATATTCCCATTTTAAATTTTCTAAATTATCTTATAAATAGGCTATAAAACTAAATTTAGAATTTAGGAATTCCAACATTTTGTATATAAAATACGCACGCTTGAGAGGAAATCACTCATAAGTGTTGTAAGGCGGCAATTTGAAAATCAACGAAATTAAGGTAATTTTATGATTTATTTATTCTATATCTAAAACAACTACGTACAGCAAAATTACTTTTAAACTCGCAAAAAATGTAGTTCAAAATAGTTTTGAAGCAGACGACATTGAATGCGTTCATTCGATATCATTTTACTACTATAAAATACTATTAATTTAACATATCGACTGTGTATTTGATAATTTGCGAATATATTTTCAGTTTGTCATTCGTAAAATACATGTAAATAAAAGGTTAAGATAAATTTTATGTCAGGTTCTATAAGTGCAAGACTAAAATTAACTAATACTAGTAAATACTTATTGTTTTTATTATTATTATTAGTGGCAATGAAGCGACATATAATTATCAATCAATTGATTAAAAAGATTGAATGTTAACTTTTCTTTTTCCTTTTTCAGGGGTTGAAGTGAAGCACACAGAAAAAAAAGAGTTCAATCATTTACAGTGTTTACAATAAAGACTGAAAAAAATGGATCTTCTTCGTTGGATGAAATTCATAACTGTGACAGTCTTGTTGCTGTTGTCTCTTTTAACAGAAGGAAGTGCTCGTCGGTTTAATGCTTGCAGATACAACGCTGTAACGCACTCGTGCGATGACGTAATTTTGAGAAGCGTAGGACCATACAAATTTGAGAAAAGTCTATGTAGGGACATTTACGGAGGAAAGTGTCGTCGTTTGGTTCCCTTGAAAAGGCGATGTTTCTGTATGGGAAAAATAGTTTTCTAGAACAAATTCAACGTTATATACAATGAGTTCTAACTAGTTACTGGCGGCATTCAAATTTATAAATGGCATTTTATTATTGAATTGTAATATGGCTGATTTAACATGCATATAATTATATGACATTCGTAGTATGTGTTTGAGCATTTCGTTGCGACTGTTTCATTGAAGCGTCATGAAGTATTATTTCATTACTTTCATTTCATATATATGTAAATATAACAAAAAACGATAATTTCGGACTTCTTCAGCGACATTTTATACATAACAATGAATTTAAACTAAACAAGGGAAGTGACATAACAGTATTATTGTTAAGCATAGGCCCTACTGGGACATTGTCATTGTTATTTGAAACAAAATATAGATAAATGAATATGTGCTTTATTTCCTTATTGACATTTAACTTTTATTTATTTGTCATTGCAACATTTCATGTATTATATTGTTGTTTTAACATCATCTTTGATCTTTGTTGATTCATTTATTTTTTAATTTCAGCATTAATTATAGTTAAAAATATCCATAATCTTTTTATCCGACAAGAATAGGGCAATATTTATTAAAAATACAGAGTATTATACATATTGTTTATTGTTTTCTGTTGATAGCTATTTGTCTTTCTATTTGTCTTGTTTAAATGAAAATAAAATTAAAAAAACCCCCAAACTTTATCTAACTTCATCTTTGTGTTTTGATTTCATTAGATTTGATTTCATTAGACGAATGTCTGTAAACATCCCTGTTTTCGCGAAGTTAAGATCAAGAGCGTGTGGAACTCGGGAAAATATATATAGGTTTCAGACTTATGGCCTCCTTGTCTTGCAACTGCCACTTGTCATGATTAGCAAGTATACCAATTTTAATGAACCTTTTAAAATATATGTTTATGTAATAGGCTATATCAGGGAACTTAATTGACAAAGATTTTGCATGACGACGACAGCGATGATAACCATAATACTGTGAATTCACTTAATTTCGTGGACATGGAATTTCATGGTTTTGTAACAAAGAAAATTTTTCACGGGAACTTAAATTCGTGGATTGTTTATTTTTCTAGAGTAAAAATGTAAATAATGTGATGCAAAATAATCTTACAGAAGACGAAATGAAATTTCGTTGGGGACTGACATATCCACGAAAATTAGTGCCCGACAAATTATAATTTTGCAGTCGCTCGAGTTTTCCTTTGAAACTGACGAACTAAAATTGAGTTACTAACAGTATAGAGCCTGGTCAAACTGCACAGATAGGCAGACTGGTCTGTCTCTATACTGGTGTCAATGGCAAATCTCTATGAGTTCCAGTGGTCAATATCAGGATCAAGATTCCTTTTAGAAAATATATGCACAGTTACTTTTCGTATCGTAGGTTGAATGTACTTTTTTTATCTGCGCTTAAATACTCCATATTACTTAAAAGTTGATTTGAAATCACACAAGATGATGTCATTTAATCCAACAATGAGTTTGTTCTATTGACATTTTTTTTTCAAAAACACACCAGTGAGCAATGTATAAGCGTTTAATGATCTAATAAATTTTACACAGCAAAAGGAAGTTCGAAAAACGAGGACTTTGATTTTAAAATTGATTATTCAGTTTTGTTTTGATAAAATGAAACAAAATAATGTGATTAAAGAGCATCTTGAAGGCATCGAAGATTACAAGAAGAGTTGCTAAAGTCTCTCAAATATATTGTGAAACACAATGTCAACAGCTAAAGAGAAATCAACATTATCTAAGCTACCTGGGAAGAAATTATTCTCTCATTCCTGGATGGATTTTATAATAATTTGGTATAAATGTGTAAGACATAATGCTGATAGTCGTGCATAGGGGTCAGGTCTTCAGTTCTGCACAGAATTAAATGTTTTGATCATCTTTGAAAGACTATCACACAAAGTGTATCCAGTATTAATTAAAACGCCGGCACGAGAAAACGACCCTTAAATTCATTTTACAAATGACGTCAAAAGACGTTAACGTTGTCATATACGTTACAAATAAAAAAGTGAATTACCCTTCAAATGCTTAAGATAAATATGAATAGGTAACAATGAGCAAATTTCAAAAGTTTTTTCTATTATTAAGGAGCAGTAGACCTGAATTTTTTTTACAAATTTATTATGTCATTTAAAAAGAATTGACTGACGTTAAGGGTCACTTACTCATGTCAGCTTTCAATTATGATGTTCATATTAATTATAATGACCAATTAGATCAACAGGGAATTTTGCTCAGAGTATATGTAATGTGGACAGAGAGACAATATACATGTACTTTAAATGATCACAAATGTTGCCTTTAACGCTTTGTGTTCTGGTGATTAAAAAGTAACTGGTCAATGAAAATAAATATAAACATACAGTGTTTTTAAATTTGTAGATTAGTATATATAATTATACAGGTATAACAAAAAATCAAAACAGTTAATTTACAATATATTCTGCATCACAATGATGCTATTTTTGGAGGGTCACATATGCTCATGTACTTAACACAGAACTGCATTTCTGACAAGCCAGATTAAGATTACTCTTGCTAGAGATTCAAAGATTTGAAATTTAATAAAAATCATTTTAAAACTCCAACACATTAAGAAAATTCATTCCTAATGAAGTAAAAATGTTTAAACTTATGAACCAAATGCATTCCTTTGAGTTAAAATATTCCTTACAACTGATACATATACATGTTCTTACAACTTCAATCCTCCAGTGTAAAATCGTATTTCTTAAATTTTGATTTAAAATCTGTTGCCATGGAAGCTTCTTGTGATTTGGAAACACTACATACTTTCCAGTCAACCCTTTCAGGCATGTCCAATATACCAGGACTTGCTAAAACTTCCCTGAAAAAAAAAACACAACAAAATATACATGAAATAATTGTAATTATACACTTATTTGCTTATCAAACTAAGTTTTTACTCATGTGCAGTCAAAATAAATTTGAGCTGTGTCACGACAAAACCAACATAATGGGTTTGCGACCAGCATGGATCCAGACCAGCCTGCGCATCCGCGCAGTCTGATCAGGATCCATGCTGTTCGCTTACAAACCCTATTACAAGTAGAGAAACTGATAGCGAACAGCATGGATCCTGATCAGACTGGTCTGGATCCATGCTGGTCGCAAACGCACTATGTTGGTTTTGTCATGACGCGGCTCATTTCAAACAGTAGGATCATGATATGCCCCAGTATCACTTATCAGAGTTTACAAGAAGAGTGTTCTCTATATAAATATCAAGAATTAGAAACTTGCCCACCTATGGCCTAATTTTTATTTTATTTTATCTTATTTATTTTTATTTGGTCAAAATTTGTGCACAGTTAAATCTGTGAAAAAATACAAATGATATTTGTTAATGCTGATCAGACCAATTGATAAAGCAAATATTGTTATACAGACAAAGGAAAAGATAGACAACAGGCAATTTGTGAAAACAATAGCTTGTTTGTGCTCTCATGAGATGAAAGTAAGAAAATCTTACTGAAGACATGTCATTTTTAATATTGTTTAGCTGTATCCTTAAGTGTTTAGATAATCAGGTTTATCTACAAGAGTTACACTACCTGCCAAACTGAAGTGGGAACTTTTGAGATCCAGAGATTCTACAGTAGAGTTTTTCATCAGTTGGTAACTCAGCATAGAAATAAGGCACACCAATCTGAACAATCTGAATTTGAAATCAATAAAAAGTATTTTTTCTTCCTTATACAGTTATTGCGACACTCATAAACAGTGTTATATCAGAATGTACAAATATTTCACTTAGTTATCAACTTACCTGTCTTATATCAGAATGTACAGGTATTTCACTTAGTTATCAACTTACCTGTCTTATATCAGAATGTACAGATATTTCACTTAGTTATCAACAAACTTGTCTTATATCAGAATGTACAGGTATTTCACTTAGTTATCAACAAACTTGTCTTATATCAGAATGTACAGGTATTTCACTTAGTTATCAACTTACCTGTCTTATATCAGAATGTACAGATATTTCACTTAGTTATCAACTAAATTGTCTTATATAAGAATGTACAGATATTTCACTTAGTTATCAACAAACTTGTCTTATATCAGAATGTACAGATATTTCACTTCGTTATCAACTTACCTGTCTTATATCAGAATGTACAGATATTTCACTTAGTTATCAACTAAATTGTCTTATATAAGAATGTACAGGTATTTCACTTAGTTATCAACAAACTTGTCTTATATCAGAATGTACAGGTATTTCACTTAGTTATCAACTTACCTGTCTTATATCAGAATGTACAGATATTTCACTTAGTTATCAACTAAATTGTCTTATATCAGAATGTACAGGTATTTCACTTAGTTATCAACAAACTTGTCTTATATCAGAATGTACAGGTATTTCACTTAGTTATCAACTTACCTGTCTTATATCAGAATGTACAGGTATTTCATTCAGTTGTATTGAGTCACTTTCAGCAGCTTCCAAAAATGTTTCTTTTATTTCCTGAACACTTTCCTGAGGAATTGGCACTGCCTGTAATATAGTAAATATACAATAAATATTTTGGTGATTGTTAAAAAATTAAGACTTTTGATATTTAAAAATTAAAATTTTGTTCAATTATATTACAAGAATGAATATTACAATGTCATAGTCTAAAAGAATCTAAAAAGCTCTGCTTTAACCTGCACATTTAGTATATGTTGAGCCATAAAAGATTTCAAGTCCAAGACTATCATGAGCGATGGACAGACACAGAGCTCATCAGGTCAAAAATGATAAAAATAGAACTTATGTAATACTGATTCTCATAAATCATTCATAAATGTATGAGTACATTTTTTTAATCATTATTTTCCTGTAAAATTTCCCTTCAGTTTTAATATATTTTTTTAACATTATCTTTAGTATGTAACATTGTTATTTTCTTTTCATTTTAATTATTTTAAGAGAATAATTTTTACTGTACAAACTTCATAACTCTTAACTACAATGTAGATTAAAAGGCAGAAGCATGTACAAGAAAACAATACTTTAACAGTTAGCGTCACAATTTAGTGTTGCTTCTTCTTTTGTGAATAAATCATTTATCATTTATTCAAGCTTGGGTCCATGTAACAACAGGTAATAACAAAACCTCCTATCTCCTCTTTTCTACCAATTCATAATTCTGATTTCTTTCAGTTCAAACACAGGCCAAACAATTCCTTTGTCTTTTTATTGAAAAAAAAAGAAACCTTTTGATATATGAAATAAATTTGTATCATCTCAAGGGTCAGAAAGAGGTTTTGTTTGCTTATTGGGTTTTACCTCACACTGACACAGTAAAGGTCCTATGGGGAAGTTTCAGCTTTACTGGTGAAGACCTCAGGTGCCCGTCCGTGCATTATTTCAGGCCCAAGCGGGCACCTGAGCAGCTGAATGGCTTCCTCACATGAAAGAATTCAAAGTCCCTGTGGGGATTCAAACCCACAACAGTGAGGGGGGACAAGTGTTTTGAAGTCAGACAGGGGTGTAGAAGTGAATTCAGTGCAACTTTTGCACAAAGCCAGTTTTTATTACTGAGAGTTGGTGTTCTAAAGGGGTTAAATTTGTTTCACACTGATGTTGTAAATAGGCTATTTCTCTAAAAAGGCCCTCTCAGCAGAAGATGCACTATACTATATTACATTACTATATTCTACTCACCTGAATCTGTAAATGTTGAGTTTTATAATTCCTCTCAAAGAATACTACAGCTTTACCCTGTTTCTTAAAACATTTCTTTAATGCTTTTTTATACCTATAAAAGAGTGAACACAGAAAACATGTAATTCTCTCATTTGTAGATCAGTAAATAGATTAGTAACAAAATAAAACCTGCACTTAAAACTTGATCAAATCTTACAACAGATGCATCCAACATAGTCATAGAAGAACTGTAAACATAACATTCAATAATCAAATAGCATACATCACTGTGCTAACACGTAGAAAGTATACAGAAAAATAGAAGGTTTATTTGATTTGTTGAATTTTGAATTTCAGGGAAATTATCTACCTAGTATTCTTGGACCCACTAGGTCTGCTAAAATATCTATATACAGGCAAACCTGTGATTTAAGGCCATCTAAAGGAGAGACCACACATGGCCTTTATAGACAAGTGGTCTTTATTTGAAATTTATTGTATTTTCATTCATGTAATTTGAAACAGCAGAGAAAGAAAAAAGAATTAAGACATTTCAATGGAAACAAAACCATCACTTAACTAGAACTCCGCGAGTCGGATGTGTCGCCTTGTGAACAATATAGTTAAGGAGAATTTATGGCCAGGACAAAAATGAAGAAAATAAAGAAGTGCAGAGTACCGGTTCTTGTACACTGCATTTTTCTTAAAGAGATCTAACATCCAATGAAGTTTCAAAACCATAGCTTTTATACTTTAGGAGAAATGGCCTGGACAAAAATAAAGTATGAAAATTAACAAAGGGCAATAACTCAAAAAATAAGAAATGCAAAGTACCGGTTCTTGTGCACAGAACTTCTTCTTAATGAGATCTATCATCCTATGAAGTTTCATGTCCATAGCTTTTATACTTTAGGAGAAATGGCCTGGACAGAAATAAAGTATGAAAATTAACAAAGGGCAATAACTCAAAAAAATAAGAAATGCAGATTACTGGTTCTTGTGCACTGCACTTTTTTTTAATGAGATCTATCATCCTATGAAGTTTAAAGACTATAGCTTTTATACTTTAGGAGAAATGACCTGGACAAAAATAAAGTATGAAAATTAACAAAGGGCAATAACTAAAAAAATAAGAAATACAGATGAGTACCAGTTCTTGTGTACTGCACTTCTTCTTAATGGGATCTATCATCCTATGAAGTTTCATGTCCATAGCTTTTATACTTTAGGAGAAATGGCCTGGACAAAAATAAAGTATGAAAATTAACAAAGGGTAATAACTCAAAAAATAAGATATGCAGAGTACCGGTTCTTGTGCACTGCACTTCTTCTTAATTAGATCTATCATCCTATGAAGTGTCAAGTCCATAGCTTTTATACTTTAGGAGAAATGGGCTGAACAAAAATAAAGTATGAAAATTAACAAAGGGTAATAACTCAAACAATAAGAAATGCAGAATACTGGTTCTTGTGAACTGCACTTCTTCTTAATGAGATCTATCATCCTATGAAGATTCAAGTCCATAGCTTTTATACTTTAGGAGAAATGGCCCGGACAAAAATAAAGTATGAAAATTAACAAAGGGCAATAACTCAAAAATTAAGAAGTGCAGAGTAACGGTTCTTGTGCACTGCACTTCGGGTCATTGTAACAAGCATGCATACGAAGTTTGAAGTCAATCCAACTTATAATGATTGACTAATGCTCCAGACAAGCTAGCGGGGACGCAGACGGCGTCGACATAGATGCCGCCGACAAAAGTAACCCCTATATGTCACCTTTTTCAAGGCGACACAAAAAGAAGACTCTTCAAGATTTCAAGGTTTCAAACTAGCAATCTGTGGTGTGTACACCTTATGCTATCCTTAATATTATATTTAACCACATGCTTAAGCAGATAAAGTTTACCATAAACAATAAAATGTCTTGAAAGTTTTAACAATAAATCTGCAGGTGGGGACAGACCATGATACCAGAGCAGAACAAGATCAGCCAGGACATCCATGTACATGTATATTCACTCAATACCGTATGTATATTGAAAATTTCCCTAAAATGATGAATGGTTTTGTCCAGATTGAAAGGTGGACTTTCTTTGTTGCGTAAAATATATTTGACATATTGATTTCAAATTCTTACACTTCTTAGAAGAATAAATAACAAATTAACACAGACAAATTCATGTTAGTAGCTTCTTAGATAACAACAATATTTAATTTTACATAAACACATATCAGCGACATTGGCGCACTCCAAAAAGTTATTGACGTCAACGTCATGATATTGTACAACTTTTGCTTCAACGTTACGCAGTCAATGACCGTTACTACCTTTTAAAGTATTGTCCGTTTTCCCGTTCAACACTAAATCTCTTATGCCATTAAACATATGCGTATCCGTCATTTCAAAATGTGTTGATAATATTCTACAATGTATGCTGATAAAATTTCATTACAATACAGGTTGACGTTCAAGAGATATTTAAAAAGACAACAAATTTTTGGATAACCCCTCGTACAACAACAAGTAAATAATGCACAGACTAACTGTAAAACCTTATCCCCATTCCAAGAGGACTTGAGATAGCAGGGAAAATATTGCTTTTTACATTTCCACATTCTACTATTGTGGTTGTTTTGTAATGGCACCAAATAAATATAGAAACAGAGTATTTAGCAGGGATTCTAACATCTCACTGTCCCTGTAGACTGGGGCCTTCAACAAAATATCCATGTTTCTGAGTGTTGGGGGCGTAGATATAAATGACTTGTGCTTAACTTGAACTGATGAAAAATTCTTTATCACATAATCCACAGCGCAGGATAAAAAGGATATTACACTAGTGTAATAACACCTTGACATGATGTTATTTGCGTTACAAACACAGCGTAAAAGCACGCTTATGTTAGGGTTACACTATAAGTGCATCAATAATAAATGGCACTTTTTAAACTGTAAATCGTTCTTAATTTGAATATGTGATAAATAGAATATTTTATTTAATTTGACCCATGAAATATTGTGCTATATCAGTCAAATATATTTCATATTTTTAAAAAATAAATATGAAATATAAATATGAAAGTGGGCGGAGTCAAAACTCATATTTATTTTACGGGACTTCTTTCGCCATTTTGTTTGAAAAATCTGATAAATACAAACAACTTTTTTGTTGAATTTTGTTTTGAAAACTATCTAGAATGATAGAAAATGGTCTAACTAAGAAAATAAATCCGAACACCAATATCTTTAATTCAGTCATTAACGCTGTACAGACGTTTAAAAAGTTGTTTACGTGACGTCACAATCTAGCGCTAAATATCGCGTGCAAAACAAAACGATACTTACATTACTGCGGGCTGTATAATTGCAGTTGCGTAGCAGGCAAGGGGGTTCATAACCATTTTTCTTTGATAATGAAATTAAATAAAAAGGTTATTTTTTCGTTTTTCGTGAAATATGGTATATATTTTCACTCAACATGATAAAATGCCTCATATTTTCACTCGCCGTCCCGGCTCGTGAAAATATGTGGCATTTTATCATGTTTCGTGAAAATATATTCCATATTTCACTCAAACGAAAAAATATCCTCTTAATATTTGTGTAGATTCAATACTTAATTTATTGAACTTGTTGAATAAAACAATATCTTGCTCGCCAAAGGCTCACATAATATGATTTTATTCAACTCATTCAATAAAATATAGTATTAAACCTACACTCATTCAATATCCTCTATATATTTGACAATATTGAGTATTGCTACCTGTTTATTTCTTCTAGCACATCTTCTGGTAAAGTGACAGTTGATTGATAATGACCAATTGGTAATATAAGAATGTGTTCTGCAACTAGGCCACCTTTTGCTAATGCTAAATATGTCTGAAATAGGAAACACAAAAAATTAGACCACTCATTGTCTTCATTTATATATTTTTGTACTGTCAACAATAAAATTCATGATAATTCAATAGCCTGCTTCAATTCTTAATTTGAAAAAGAAATTTGTATTGAAATTATATAGTACATCATTTACAAAAAAGAATTTGTATGAAGTTTTTTTGAATTTCTTACTCAATATTCAATATTCTTAATTGGTTTGTTTTGTTTCGTTTTACAATGCATCAACACAGATTGGGTCATACGGTGCAGAAACAGGGATAACCTTGGGTGTTACAAACTTAAAGCAGCACCAGGGGTCAAAACCACCTCACCTCTGAAGCTAAGAGATGCACAGACTACAGTAATTTGAACCCATTTAGTCGTATCTTACAATCACACACATATAAATGATGCAATATTAAAGGCAATCCTTCAACCACTAGGGACAATAATCTTTTTCGAGATTTTCATATAGAATTTAAACTGTTTAATAGAATTTCTTTAAACTCGGCATGTTGTTAGAATATGACAACAGAAATATTCTGAATGAAAAAAATTAGGTGGCACTGACCTCAATTTTGAGTTATCTGCCCTTGAATCAGAATTATTTACTTATATCAGGTCATTTCAAGGGCAGATAACTTATAGATGTCAATAAAGTCTTGTTTTTAATTTTGGATTATGTTTTTCCTTTTTATTGTTGATCTCAATACATAAAAGCGTGCAATTCCAAATATTATTTCTGTTACTTGTATATTTTTCAGTTTAAATGAAAGGACATAAAATTCTTTAAAAATACAAAGGAATTTTTATGGATTCAAACTTGATAACTCTTTGCTAATTCAAAGATATTAACTTAATGATAATTTCGTGTCAATTTAAGTATGTGTGTCTATAATAATTAAAACTCAATGTTAGTTCTATGCCAATATAAACCCTATGACAAAAACTACATGTTATTCAAACATGTGATCCCAATGCAAATTGAAACATGCTGTCTCTAAATTGAGCTTACTTAATTGGTAGTTAAAACTATCATGTCTCCAGATTCCAACCATGTTCATGAAAATTTTGAAAATGTATCAATAAGTAAAAATTATTGTGAAGTGAACAAAGAAAATAACTTATACATTGCAATCAGCACTTACACAAATATAAATAACTAAATCAAGGTCAAAATATGCAAAAATAGCCCATGCTGCATTACTAACACAGTAGAAATCAGTCACTAATCAAGCATAACATGGAAATTATTACTTTTAACTTGAATCTTTTTACTTTTTCCAACATCTCAGTACATTTTTCTCAAGTTTGATTTTCTTGAAATATATTACCTCATCTGGAGGCATGCAGCATTTAGAGTGAAGTTTGTAAAGAGATGAATTAGACGTCTTTCAGTGCATTTCGGCGTGTGACAAGGCAAGATTTTAGCATTTAATCATTCAAGCACCTTGTCCAGTATATACCGGTATACAGTATTTTGTGTGGTGCTCCAACACATTTTATAGTCTCACTTGTTTTAATAAAGCAAAATATATTTCCCATAATGCATTATACATTTATTGTCAATATCTACATGTAGAAAATTAGAGATTTTTTATTACCTCAGTACCAACACTCACTACAAGATGTTTTTCTACATCAGGACTTCCAAGGCAAAACCAACATGGTCCAGTGGGAACAGCTACATATGAAAATATGCGTGTAAAAACATTACAAATGCTGTATTGTTCAAACTATCAGGCAATTACTGTAAAAGAACACTATTAAGCTGATGGTAAAACATTTGAACATTGTCTATTTCCACATTTTACAGAGATGTAGTGTACAAAATGGAAAAACTTGAAAATAATTTTAAGTGCCCCAATAAGGAACTCCACTGAGTTCTGAATGCCTTAAAACATAAAATTTGAATTTCTTACATAGATCAGCTGGGCACTTAAAACAGAATGATATGCAAAAGATAATTAAGAAATATATTCAGAAATAAATTGAAAATTGTATTTTTATGCAATTCTTAGCCTAATTTGAGTGAAATTTTCAGTCCCTTTTCAGAGCCTCAGTGGGGTCCCTTTAAAAACCAAGAACATGAGTAATGGTGTTATTTTATAGTCATTAGCCAGATAGCTTATACTATTTGACGCTTTTAACCAATTTGGCCATTTGTAAGTGACAGCTACAAATATTAAATATAAAATAGAACTCTACCAAAAACAAGGTATATTGATTAGCCTATGGGTCATCCACAAAATATTTCAGAGCACATATAACAAGAGCTGTCACAGGAGACAGCGAAGCTCGACTAATAAAATACTGGACTCAGTAAGGAAGACAAAACTATGAAAGAGAAATCAATTTAGGTATAATTATATATTAAGTTATAGTAAAAAAATAACATTGTTAACATAAATTCCAAGATCAAGGGGAATAATTCTGAAAATAGTCACCCTAGAGTTATGAACCTTGTCATACAACATGTGTGTAATGATAAGAAATATATATTTGAAGTTTGAAGTAGATACCTTAACAAGAACTGTCGGAGGACAGTAACGCTCGACTATTCGAAAATTTGTCACAAGGGTGTTTCATTGAGTATAATAATGCTTACCTATATGAATACATAAAATTGTCCGAAAAGGTACAAACTCTTCAAGTTTCAATACATTCCCTTCAGTAGTTATGGAGAGACAAGCTTACATGCAAAAACTTTACCAAGAATTCATGAGTCGAAAAAGGGGCATAATTATGCAAAAAAAGCAAATCAGAGTTATGGGACTTGTACCAATCATCTTAGATAATCACAGAGACCAAGTGTGTTAAGTTTCAATCCATTCCCTTCAGTAGTTATGGAGATACCAGCTTACATGCAAAAACTTAACCAAGAATTTCTAAGTCGAAAAAGGGGCATAATTATGTTAAAAAGCAAATCAGAGTTATGGGACTTGTGCCAATCATCTTAGATAATCACAGAGAACTAGTGTGTGAAGTTTCAATCCATTCCCTTCAGTAGTTATGGAGATACCAGCTTACATGCAAAAACTTAACCAAGAATTTCTAAGTCGAAAAAGGGGCATAACTATGTAAAAAAGCCAATCAGAGTTATGGGACTTGTGCCAATCATCTTAGATAATCACAGAGAACAAATGTGTGAAGTTTCAATCCATTCCCTTCCGTAGTTATGGAGATAACAGCTTACATACAAAAACTTAACCAAGAATTTCTAAGTCGAAAAAGGGGCATAATTATGAAAAAAAGCAAATCAGAGTTATGGGACTTGTGCCAATCATCTTAGATAATCACAGAGAACAAGTGTGTGAAGTTTCAATCCATTCCCTTCAGTAGTTATGGAGATACCAGCTTACATACAAAAACTTAACCAAGAATTTCTAAGTCGAAAAAGGGGCATAATTATAAAAAAAGCAAATCAGAGTTATGGGACTTGTGCCAATCATCTTAGATAATCACAGAGAACAAGTGTGTGAAGTTTCAATCCATTCCCTTCAGTAGTTATGGAGATACCAGCTTACATACAAAAACTTAACCAAGAATTTCTAAGTCGAAAAAGGGGCATAATTATGAAAAAAAGCAAATCAGAGTTATGGGACTTGTGCCAATCATCTTAGATAATCACAGAGAACAAGTGTGTGAAGTTTCAATCCATTCCCTTCAGTAGTTATGGAGATACCAGCTTACATACAAAAACTTAACCACAGGGACGCCGACGCCGACAAATGGGTGACTGCATTAGCTCGATTATTCTGCGAATAGTCGAGCTAAAAAGTAAAGAAGTTATAATATTTCTTAAAGAAAATCCTAAGTTCAAAAAGAGATAAATCTCTGTAAATATTGCTTCAAGAGTTATGAACCTTGTCACATAAAATGTAATTGATGATAAGGAATAAGTTTTTGAAGTTTGAGGTAGACACCTTTAAAACTAAAAAAGTTATAGTAAAAAATAACCTATTTTAAGTAAAAAAAATCTAAGTTTATAGGGAGATAATTCTTGCAATATTGGTGCTAGAGTTATGAACCTTAACACATAACATGTGGTTAAGATAAGGTACATATATTTGAAGTATGAAGTTGATCCCGTAAGAAATAAATAAGTAACAGAAAAAAATAGTATTTTTTAAGGAAAATTCCAAGGTCAAGGGGAGATAAATCTGAAAATATTGGTGCTAGAGTTATGAACCTTGTCACATAAGATGTAGTTGATGATAAGGAACATATATTTGAAGTATGAAGTTGATACCTTAAGAAATGACAAAGTTATAGTGAAAAATATTTTACTGCACCAAAACTTTAATCTGAAATCTGGACACGGATGCCGACGCCCCAGACGAGTAGGACAGCTCTCCATATACTTCGTATAGTCGAGCTAAAAATTATCAACCTACGTTTATGTTTTTTCTGTTGACCATCTGCCCCACCTTGACCTTTTCGCTTCTTCCCACCACCATCTCCTTTCATGTCATAGAAAAACTGATCCTGCAAGTGTCATGTATGGCATGAAATAAATTAATAACTTACATAAACTGCAAATTCAACAACTCAAATTTAACAGCAAAAACACCAACACTATCAAGCAAGCTCTGAAAAGACATAAAAAAGGGTGCAGTGTATAAAACTACCATAGCTTTTTTTATATCAACTTGAATGGAAATGAGGATGAGTATGATACAATAGAATTCTAATTTCCTATTTATCTTTCAATCACACAATCACTTATCAAAGGGGAGTAAGTGTCATTTACCGTTTTGTCCCTGGGGGTGTGTGCATTTTTCAAAAGGGCTAATTAGAATTATTAAAATGTGACTAAAAATTATGTTTATTAAAGATACAATCAAATTATAAAAAATATTATAGATTATAAATCTGTAAGATAAGATTTTTTTCTTCTATACAATTTAATGTGGTGGTTGGGGTGATGCTAATTAGAAGGGGGCCATAAATAGGAAACAATATGGTATATACAATCACTCCACATTCATCACCATAGAATTCATCATTGAAATACTTGAAACATTTATGACTAGTCCATGCCACTAGTATAGTGCCAGATCAGACAGCTGTCATCTGTGAACACCATACTGTTGTGTGCACCATTCCAGCATTTATTTGATGTTTGGTTTTAAAGTCACATCCATACTATAAAGGTCATAATATAGAGAGCTCACACTGAGGGTCGCCATGGTCTTCACTTGCGATTCTTTTATAAGATTGGCATTTTTTTCTTCAATTTGGCTACAGAAACTTGTGATAATTTTTATGCCCAACAGCGTTTATATCAGGTGTATTTTTAAAAAAAATTATATGACCTTAGTGCAGTAACAGGTTAACTTGGTAATGCATAATTATGACAAATTATGGCAACTTTTAAGCATCACTGGTGGAGGAAGATACTAGATACCCCTTATTGCATTATTTCAGTCACAAGCAATAAGCTAAGAAGAACTTCTGCCATTTTGTAATTGACCTAGATAGCTTCCTCACATTTTGATATCATAAGTTGTTTCTTTCAACAACAGAATGTTTCAAATTGATAAGCTTGTTAAGGCCATTGTATAAATTTAGAGTGGTCAATCATGTATGTATTCTGCAAAAATTTTTAAATGCCAAAATATTGACCAAATCACTAGAGTCTAATCCTGAAGACAAGAAAGTAAAATAAATATAGTATTGCTGCCAAAGCAATGTTCAAATAATTTATTGTTAGTAATAGTTATTTCATAGTTGTTACTCAGTGTGGGTAGAGAGATTAAACAAGGCAGCTGTCAGTTTCTAAATCTATTTACTTATGATTACTAACAGAGAAGTGATGCCAGGTGAATTTAGGCAGGGCTTATCAGCTAGTGATCAACAGTGAGTCAATATATTACACAACATATACATGAATGTATACCAAATAAATTATACAAAACTTGCTATAATGAAACTTATATGACACACCTGTTTTTCTGCCACTTGAGTTGATTTTTCCTTATAAGGACATTCTGTGACATCTTCTGGTTGAGAGACAAGTTCTGTAGGATCCATCTGTGACATTGGTGTTATACTAAATGCATACAAATACTGGAAAAAAAATTCATTACAAAGTTTTAAAAAAAAACAAACCCAAAAGAAAACTACATAAACTACTACAGTCGACTCTCGTTATCTCGAAGTCATCGGGACCGACCAAAAAATATCGAGATAACGAAATGTCGAGATAAACATATTAGGGTTGGAATACGGCAGAAACTGATATTACAAAAGACATGTGCATACCTTATGTCAAATAAACTATGATTTCCACTGTCTTGTTTTCATAGGCCTAGTCAATATTTAACAAAGTAACAATAGCGGATGTTTACCAGCGGAAAAACTTGTGTCTGTGATAAACACATATAGTGAGGTTTACTCAGTAATACATCGATATGGTGAAAACAATGTTTTCAGGGTGGTTGATCCGGATATCCTCCCTGGTTATTTATCTGGTCTTTCTCGAGATTGTTCAACCACTGATTGATTTGGTGGTGATGTTTTAAAACAATATTGCAACGATTGTGTTTCTATACTTTCACTATTTCATTACATTTAAAGTCATAATGAATTCATACAGTGTTCGAATATTTATAAAGAACGTAAAATTCACTCATTTTGGACGTAAGTCAATCAACTCGCTTAATAGATTAACTTTTATAAAAACAGCTTAACTTGTTACAAACATAATCATCATTATGACACGCGCAATTGAGCAATTATCGTCTAGTTTGTGTTTTTCACATGTCTTAAGGGAACAGATGAAAGAAAACTATTAGTCGAGATAAACAAAGGATAATAGTGTGAAAATAACTGTTGGGGCTGAAATTTTACATCGAGATACTAAAAATATCGAAATAAAAATATCGAGATAAACAAATATTTCCAATATAGATAAAGAAGGAAGAAAATCGGGACTTTCAAAATTTCATCGAAATAACGAAATATCGAGAAAAGCGATGTCGAGATAACGATAGTTGACTGTATATAAACGTCACGATTATCCAATGAAAAGCGACGTCACAAACGTGCAGTATTATAATACATATGAACTAGCAAGTAAAACCATATCCTAGTATTATGCTGACATCTGCAACAACACAGAACAGAACACACTACCATATTAAACATTATCAAATATCATTATCTGTAGTGTATCTTTTATAACAATAAACTTCTAAAACAATATGATAGAAAGTCGAAGGAAATGTGAAATGCAGAGCATGTCTACTTTTGCTTATAGAGCTTAACTTTTGTTTATTGGGTTTTACATTACACTGACACAGTATAGGTCATATGGCGATGTTCAAGCTTTAATGAAGAAGTAAAACCTCTTGTGCCCTTCTGTCCATTATTTCAGGCACGAAAAATATTAGGCTGTATCTTGTCACTATTAATAAGATTGATGAATCTATCCTATATAAAATACCTTTTTCTTCAGTTTGTTTCCAACCTTGGCTAGGCCGATAAATCTGGTCACATGTCTAGCTGGTTCTGCCAGGACTTTATGATTTCTGTAGGGTTGACGTTCGTAATGTACATCTTCTAGAGCAGAGAAATGGTAGCGAGGTCGCAATTTTACTGCCAGCTGAGAAAGTGTCTCCGACCCACTATTGTTCGAACTGAATCCTTCCTAGGTTATTAAAATGAAAAATGACAACATCTGAATACTTCCGAAGTGACATATTATAAACATACATCATTCATTTAGTTAGCAAGAATCGATACAGGCTTATTATTGACTTTTTAGGGTTTCTCACAAAGTGCTTGTTATCTTATTTTATATCGAAAACCAAAGACAGTACATAATATCATTACCTGTTCACTGCTATACTTTTCAACACCTTTCGGCCACTGTGATGATATCAGGATGTCTACACCTTTAAATTTGCTGTCATTTTTTACAGGATCAATGAGAGAGTTGATGTCAACAGCATTGAAACATGTATCATCTGATATAATATCTGATTCTGTTCCACTGAGATATGCTAACTGTAGTCCCGAGCTGCCATTGTATAACCCCTTCTTACCTACAAAAGTTGGTATAACATATATGATATGCATCTAGCAATTATTGTCCTTGCCATATAAAATATAGAGCTTTCATAGATTTGTTTACAGAATTATATTGTTTAACCCTTTAGCTCAATACAACATTATACAGGATTTTTTCATTTTTATCTGAGGTAACAGATTTGCTAACTTAAATAACCAATTTGGCCATGGGTCATGGGGATATTTTAATCTACAGGCTAAACATACAACCAATCTTAACAGCATTTCAACTTATGATATGGATTGTCAATCTGTTAATAATGATAACCCTAAGTATAAGCATCCTGGTAAACCGTAAATGTGTGTAACAGTCCAATCTATTTTAAAGTTTAAGGGGCTTTGATAGAAAAGTCACTAAAAGTATAATCCTGGTAAGACTGCATGGATATAATCAAAGCACAGAAGGCACTGAATTTGTTTGGGTCTCAGAATGTCAGAAAGGTTTATAAACCAATTTGTTTTTGTATAGTGCCACCAATGCTTTACAGTGTTTTAACTGTAGTAAATTGACTATAAGACTAACTGCAACACTGATAGTCAATTCAATGTTTATTTGACTTAAAAAATTTAAAAAAAAAATGAGTTGCTTCAACTGGGATTTGAACCTCAGACCTCTCGATTCATAAGCGAGCGTTCAAACCCCTCGGCCATGGTGAAATTATATGTTAACGGCCTGTGAGAACCATATTATTCTAAATTAGGGTTTGTAACACTTATTATTTTGACGCTTAACCTGTTGTCTAACACAGATGTAAATAATCATGGAGCTTACTGTAAGCATGTATATCTATAAAGAATGAAACAATTTTAGAAATCTTCGACCATTCGGGAACTACTTTGCTTGAAAATTAATGCGCCTGTCATTTGACAATCTTTACGCATTGATCTCCCCTGAATTTTTCGGCGTTAGTGTACATATAAAGGGAAGTAACCGCTTCAAAATAGTGGACTACTTTAGGCATTTGCAATTAACAGCATTAGGCTCTGAAATTTCGCTACCATTATTTGTTTGGTCTGACGACCCAAACAAATATAAACTGCATGCCTGGCTCTATACTAGTATACTGGTGGCAAAGGTCAGTCACTTTCAGTTCCAGCTGAAGACTGGCCTGGCTCTATACTGTTGTCAAAGGCTGGTCACTTTCAGTTCCAGCAGGTTAAGGGTTAGTAAGAGCACATTTTAAGAATACATCTGATATTATAGACAACAAATGACACTGACACATTGAAGGTTTTACATTGTTTTACAATGTTGTTTCTCTGAATTCACTTCTAACTATAAAATAATAATACATAATTTTTGTTTGGTTGGCTAGACAGTTAATATTTTGCATTTGAAAGAAAAATATTTATGCAATATGCCCTAAGAATGAAAACTGTATGTATCTAGTTCTTTCATATGGAATTACCAATTTTTTTGTCTTTGTTACTTTAGATAAGGTTTTTATTCAAATAGCACTGATATGTTTTTAGAAATTAAGAAACCAGAGAACAATTAAATTGATAGTTAACTTTTGTTATTCCTTTGATGATCTGATGTTGCAAACTTAGTGTGCAGAAATGAGTACTTCCTTAGTAACAGTCAAAGCTTACAATTAAGAATGTTTCAGGTTTTTTGTGCTTTTACATTCACCTGAAGTGCAGGTAAAATAATTATACACTTACCGAAACCAAAGGTGATGCAAGATTTGAAATAGCAGACTTATGTTATCTTTTATCTGTTACAAGATTAAGTAATAGATGCTATCTAAAACTCAGCAAATGTGGGTTTTTCCAGTAGCTAATCCATAGGTACAAACAACCTTCTACCGTTATAGCTTCATGGAGCACTATCTGTTACAAAAGATTAGTCAACCTGTTGTGCTTATTTTCAAAGCTGTAACTGTAAAAGTTACAGATTAGCTGGGAATTTTTTTTTAAAAATTCTTCATTCCGAAGTAAGTCGTGCTGTTTGATCTAAAATTAAACCAAAGAGACTAAAATATTGATCAATCACATACCAAGATAAGTGACATTATCACAGAGGTCTCCTCCTTTCATGTCCTTATATAACTTGACATGTTCTGATCTGTTTGGTCCAAGAACAAGAATAGGTAAAGGAACTGAAATATAAATATATTATATTCATATTTATATCCAGTTCTGGGAACTATTCTGCATATCGATATTAGATCAAGTTATTTACCTACCATATTCAAAATCATCACACGAAATTATAAAAGAGATTATAATGTTCTCAAAGCTTACTTTTTCAATACCGGCATGAATTATGTATTGCATAAGCCATCATGAACAAAGCCACTTCCATCACAGCTTAAGCTGTTATTAATATGCACATTCATTCATTTATGATAATGTTATTCAGCAAAAGCAATCAACAGTTTCAGCACGATTAGTAATGAAAAGGTGTTGTCTTTTGGTAACCATGTGTGAATTAAATGATAGGGCTGATATTTTACGTATTCATTTATAATAGCAAAGGTTTAAAATAGCTTGCTTTAACATAAGCCGTCCAGTTAGCTCAATAGGTAGAGCATTGGATTGTGAATCTGGCGACCCAGGTTTGATTTCCGGAAGGCGCAGGTCATTTTTGTTGTGATTGATCATGAAATCTTTTCTATGGTCATTCGCACTGTACCTCTGCTCTGGTATGTACAGAAGTTTCAATTCTTTGCAGAAGTGAAGGCAACTATTACTGGTAAACTGCTTGACAGCCTGCCCAGGAACGATGCGGTGGCTAAACTGTGCTCTGGTAAATTCGATGTGGCTTACTGTTGTGATCCGGAGTGAAAACTACTAACACCAACACCACTATAACTTGCATTAAGATTAAATCAAAACCATTAAAATCAAAATTATTCAACAATATTGGAGGTGAAGTCTTACCTTTGACTGATCCAGATGCATACTTTTGCCATTCCTCATTTTTGTCACCAAAGAAGTTGCCAACACACAACAAAACCTTTAGAAAAATGTATGAAAACTGATGAATGTCCTCTTTTAAATGAATCTTTTAATGACATGCAGTCAAAACATCCAAAATGCAGACAATGTTAGTTTTACCAACTTCTGCAACATGTAATTCAACATGAAATTTGGTATCAATTTTTATATTTTTGTTGAAATGCACTGCTTTTTTAAATTTTATTTACAAATATATAATGACAAAACAAAATACGAAAATATAGTGCCAAGTTTCCCTTGCTTAAAGCTTCTCGCCTCCAGATGAGCCAAAATATTTCAAGAAAATCAAACTTGAGAAAAATGTACTAAGATTATATGAAAAGTAAAAAGATTTGTGTAATATTTTACATGTTAAAATTATGCAATTAATGACTCGTTTTGCAGTATTCATCACCATAGTCCTACTGCGTGCCTAAAGAAGTAAGGGCTATTTTTACATATTTTGACCTCTTTTTGGTAATTTACACGGATTGCACATGCTGTTTGACATGTGTAAATTACTTTCTTTGTTCCCTTCACAATACATTTTCAAAATTTTAATGAAAAACAGTGCATGCTGCTTTAAAAATTAAAGTATTTACATGCACAATTAAAGTGGTGCAATAGCACAGTTGATTAGACCACTGACTATCACTCCGGAAGTCACATGTTTGATCCTGGATAACACCCTTTGGATTTTTCAGAGGCACTTTCAGTGTTTCCCACCTACCTAGAGGTGTACTGGTAAGAAGTCCAGGTACAGGAAAGAAATCTACAAAAGTCTTTGACTTTCTTTTTAATCCTTTTTACATTATGTTGTTGTACCATAATTGTATTATGTTTGCATCATATAAAATAAATACTGTTTAAACCAAATGCAAGTAATCCTTGCATTTATCAGTGCTATACACTGGGCATGTAAAAAAACCAAAGGGTCTATTCAATAAGAGGTAAGTACTGTTTTCCAGATTTCCTTGTATCTCATAGCTGTCTCTCAATTCAAAAATTCAATGTATACAATGCATACCTGCTTAGTGTAATGTAAACTGATTTTGAATCAGTATGATGTAGATAGATAGATATTATCAAAAGATAAAATTAAAATTGCTGAACTTGATTAAATTAAAAATATAGATAAAAGATGCATTAAAATAACAAGAGATTTGATCCAACATTCACAAAGCACATATATACAATTTATTGATATTAAAATGAATGACAGGGGTCCTGAAATATGTTGCCCAAGTTGTCAGAGTTGGGCTTATATGACCACATTGCTAAAAATATAAAATACATGACAGTATAATTATTAACTGCATATTCTCGTATTCATACAGGAAAACTTACATCAAATGATCCAGACTTTTTCTGTATACTGTTTATTCTTGCAAACAGTTGATCAAATCTTCCATCAACATCACCACTAACTAATCTGAAAATAGTAAAATACATACAGTCTCATTATAAGTTATTTTAATATGTGGAAGCCTAGGGTTGGAAATCGTTCTTCACGATACAGTCCAATAGCGATAGTGGTAATGACGCAACAATACAGGTATTTTTTCGATACTGATACTTTCAGATTACGACATATAGACTATTTATTTTTTTACAAAAGTATCAAATCTAGTACCGGTACTTTATGAAATGGTATATGGTAATTTACGAATTTACTATTGACGGTATAGGTATTCGGGCTTTGGCTTGCCCGGCTATAGACTACACATGTATATTTAAAAGGAAATCACATAAAAACAATTAAAGAATACATAGAATTCTATACTGGTGGGAGAGATAACTCCAACAAATAGATAACTCTGACACTTGGTAAATATTTTTGTTATAACTTTGTTTTTCAACAAACAAGCATACAGTCGAAACTGTCTTAAGCAGCCAGCCAAGGGATGCAGTCATTTTGGCTGCTTAAGACAGGTGGCTGCTGAATGGAGGATCCAGTTTTTATCCAAATAAATTATTCATTTCTTTGTAAAATAAATCTGATTTAAGTATAAATAAACCAGTCTGATTCATCATCATCATCATCAGTTTTTAACCATTTACAAACGTATGCTTTTAATAGTTTAACATGTACACAATCCTTCCAACATATAAAGCTTTACATGAATGTAACACAGATAAACAAATGCACTCACGATTTATTATGTCAATAATTGAAACTATTTATCCCATAAAAATATCTTCTTGCACAATAATTTAAAATGCGTAATATTTTTTTCACAAAAAAGTATGACAGTTTCTTTTTCTAACTTTTGATCAATAGAATATTGTGTACACGTCATCTAAGTGTCGGCACTTCCTTTGATGTTTCGGATTGAAACAGCAGAGCTACAGGTTTGTAAACATCAAAGATTCCCTTGAAGAGACCGCTAGTTACCTCTAAGAGGTCATCTTAAGTGTGTAAACTTAATGGTGTGATTTAACAGTGACCTCATTATATTTATGCAATTTTATTTTCACACATGGAGCAAGTGTTTTTATGAATTTATTACTGAGGAATTTAGACAATCGGCGATGTAATTCATTTTCATTTCTTTGGTAAGTACCATGTACGCACAAAATTTATCTGAATCGGGATAAACTGAAATTTCTTTTTGCCATCGACAATGCATTTTTTTCTTCTTTCTTTTTTTCTTAAAATCGGTAAATTGAAAAATAAAAAAACTAGCGTACAGTAACTCAAAAGAACGAATTTCAAGTGCGTTTAGATGTTCCAAACGTTTGTAATTACGACACGGATGAGCAATTATGCAAACTTCTTGAAATGTTGTGGTTTGTGTTAATATCTAGCACCTGACAAGTAGCTTTTGTTAATCCGTGACACGTGTCATCTTCAAAAATAAATGGCAGAATATTGCCTGGCCGTTTCACCCATAGGTAATCGGCGCGTTGATTGGTCACTACCCCCGCACCCCCCTCCCCCCCACACCCACTCTACAGCCTCCTACCTCTCAAAAACCATGTAAATACGATATTTTTCATTTGAAACATGTTTTAATATTTGGTTTATGCTTTTAATTCAATAACCTTCATTTCCTACAAAAAATAAAAATTGATACATATATATTTAGTAAAGGTATGCAACTCGCCGCTCAATTTTCAGCACTCATCTTAATATGAACTCCATAACTTCAACATTTTTTCACCAATTTTCAATATTTTGGTACCAAATGGTAGGGAATTGATTACTCTTAAAGGAATTAAAGTTGTCATTACAATCATTTCAAGTTATAAGAAGATATGTAATCTCGAAGTCACCGCAAGTGTAACTCGACAGTGATCTGACCGCTGGGTTTTCTTCAAAATTACCCGACTAAACGGCAGTTTATTCGAAATGAATGCATATTTCATTGTATAGCGCATATAAATATGATCAAATTATATTATTATTTGTAATAACTGTTCAATCAAAACATCTTATAAAACTATAACAAACCTTTTTTCCTATATGTTAAATTCCAAATTATAATGAAAGTAATAGTTCTACAGAGTGCTCTCCCCTTCATTTTTTGTACGGAGTATTTTCATTGGTCTCAGTTTTCATTGGTCTCAGGTTTTCATATGACCAATGAAAATACTCCATACGAATGCTTCCGTTTATACATGTGGGTCGGTATACTTTGCAGACGACTTTGCAGACAAGTTAAACATAGAGGGATTTTGCAGACAAGTTAAATAAAGAAGGATTTTAGACTTTGCAGACAATATAGATTATATAGGGGGTGTTTAATCCCTTGTCAACTGGTCAAAAGGTGTGAATGGGCAATTACATTGAAGTAATGCCATTTAGAAAGTATAAATTAATTTGCAAAACTTTTATTAAATTTGAAAAAAATATAGTTTTAAGTTGATGTTTTTTTTGTTAATTTATGCTTTCATAAAAAAAAATAAGAATATAATTAAAAAAATAATGATTATAACAAACAATATAAATTGTATCCAAATAAATGAAATAAAGAGTAAAAGCATTTAAAATCAAAGTAAATCAATGATATAGATAATTGTCACATAAACAAACATAGTAATGAAGGGCAATATGCTTGTGTGAACAAATAATTCCAACTGTTTGATGTATATGAATACATGTTTTTATTTAAGATAATAGAACAATTATTTCAAGTTTTATAAATTAAAGCTATTTGATATTAATGCTAAACCATTCAATTAGCACACTTGGCCAATTGGTTTATTAAAAGTAAATCATTATTGTGTTACAAACATGCTTTTATGGATAATTAATCTAATTTTAATAATCACTTGCAATTAATATGTTTATATTTGTTTATATTATTTGATCTTAAGTTTGGTTTTATAATTATAGCTTAAAACTGTGAAAAATTTACTGTATAAATGGGGTGAAAAAATTACAATCTTTCTCATATTTTAAATATTAGTTCAGTGTTATATTGGTTACCAGAAAATTCAAAGAATTTATAAGTGTGTAATTTTTGTGAAATAAGTTGGATTATACGAGGGGTGATCCAAAAATTCGTGGACACCCTGCATAAAACAAAAAGTAATAAAGCAAATCACATGACATTCTAGTATTTTATTAAGTAAGCATATGTCGGCAAATTCTCAAAATACTGTAAAGATTGTACAAGAATTAACGATTCTGCACCAGTTTATATACATAGACATGACAAAACGCGGCGCAGCTTACGACGTCACTAACGACGTTATGCTATCATAGGAAGTAATCTACGTTACCTTTTTGCCTTATAACTTTTCAAAGTATTCCCCTTTAACTCGCACACATTTTTCATGGCGGCGGACCCAGTCTCTAAATGTACTCGCATACCATTCCTGGCTGAATGGTGACAGTATGCATTGGGTGGCTCCTCTCAACCCGCCCAGATTGTCAACACTTTCAACAGTTTCTTTGTCTCTTACCTCGACAGGTCGACCAGTCCGCGAATCATCCCCAACACTTTCCCTTTCATCCGAAAATCGGCGATGCCACTTATAAACTAGAGAACGACACACTGACGTTTTATTTGTCACACTTTCGATCATTGTTTTTGTCTCGCCAGGCGTCTTTCCAAGATTTACACAGAACTGTATAACTGTCCGAAGTTCTGCTGGATCCGTGACGTCCATTTTTGATAAAGCTATTTTTAGCACATGTTCTTTAAAGCACGAGCGTAAAATAACCGCAACTTCAAAATGTCTTCTGATACTGGCAGAATGACATACACACTAGAACAACGTTATTATAACGTTTCCCGCAATTTTCTTTGTTTGCTCAGGTTTTACATGTGTTTAAATGAGATAAAAACGTTTACATAACAGAGAAAAAGTAAGCTGCGCCGCGATTTTGATACTTAATGTTGTGATGTTTTCATATATAGATAAAAAATGCAATTGGTGTTTAAAAATCTGGTTAATTAATTAAAAATGCATTGATTAATAATATCAAAAGAGTTAACCTCGGTAGGACGTCACGTTATGGAGATACACACATTGTCCACACATTTTTGGATCACCCCTCGTATATTTCATTAAATAATTTAATTTATTTTTTGTATTTGTGTGTATTATCATTAACATGGCTGTTGTTATAGGACACTCACAGACAAAATATTTGTCTGAATATTTGAGTAAAGACTGTTTTAGTGTGTTTCCCTACCCCGGATACTCTGCTAACCAATTTCTGAAAGAGGATGTGATTTTTGAAGTTGTGCCATTCTTTTCTGTAAGTACAATTTAAAGTTTTAAACTTTAACTTTTGGTCATATAAATTGATCACTTGTTTTCCATTTAATTTTATCATAAAAGATTTGTTTTATCAAAACAAATGTATAACATAAATATAAAAGGCAGTTCATCCCTTATAATAGGGTGATGCTTTTAAAGGCAAATTATTCCCATGCAATATGTTGATGTGTATTGAACCCCCCTGTGCTGTTGTTTCCTATCACCTATACAATTACTGTGATATACATCATTGTCTAATTGTGATCCTTGTATAATCCAGCAGTGATTGGCTTAATCCCTTTATCACACAGTAGGAAGTAATGTATATGTCTTTAAGTTAATAGATAAAGTAAAGACAGAATAGAGGTTGAATTTTGCAGACAAGTTAAAATAAGAAGGATTTTGCAGACAAGTTAGATATAGAACAAAATATAAAATGATAGGGGATTATAAGGCAAAATCTTTATTTTGCAGACAGAATTAATGTTGAATTTTGCAGACAAGTTAGAAATAGAACAAAATATGAAATTTTAAGTGACTATTAGAAAAATCTGTATTTTGCAGACACAATTAATGTTGAACTTTGCAGACAAGTTAGATATAGAACAAAATATAAAATGATAGGGAATTATAAGGCAAAATCTGTATTTTGCAGACAGAATTAATGTTGAATTTTGCAGACAAGTTAAAATAAGAAGGATTTTGCAGACAAGTTAG